AGGTAATAAATAAATAAATAAAAGGTATATTATTCAACTCCATTATCTGTTAAAGACTGCTATTAGAATAGTGAGCCAATCATTTTTCTATTATATGAAATTTTACCATTTTACGGTAAAACTTTCAATCTTTCAAGCTGTTTTTCTATTAAAACAGTCATTTTTACAAAATTGGAATAAAATACAGTATAGTTGCTTAAAAAATTTGATATCAATAATTGATCTTATAATTTTTATTTGGCTAATAGATTTTTCTCTTAATAACTTTAATCAAAACTGCATGCAATTGCAATTAGATTACATCTATTTGAAAAAAAATAATCAAAACAGGCATCCATACTTTTGTAATAGTGATAAATCTATGAAACACTTCAGTTGTCCTTTATTGGCCAGTAAAAAGTTATATCTTTGTGTGTTTATAAATGCTTTACAGATTCATATAAATATGTATTATAAAGTGACCAGACTTCTGGATTAACTAGGACAGTCTTGGTTTTCGACTCTTTGTTCTGACTTTGAAAACTGTCCTGGTTTTGAATAAAATGTCCCAAGTTATCCCATTTTTATAAGTAAATAGTTCATATTAAAAAATTAAGAATTCAAAGCAATTTTTTAAAAATTAAATCTTTTTAAGAATTCTTTAACATTTACTATAAATAAAATGTTGCATCCTAGTAAATTACCACAATGTTACTTATGTAGAGATTCAGCTGAGCATAGTGCATTACCTAAATTCTACACTAACCACTAACTCTCTTAATACCAGACTAATAAGATTATTATATTGGTTAGCCTAGAATTAGGACTTATTACACTAATAAGTATAAACTCTTGACATGTTTTCATATATCATACAATGAAAATTAATATATATTAAATATAATACTATAAAATTATTTTCATAATATAAGTAAAATTGTATATCACAAATGTGCCCAAAACTAAATTAGTTTTAATTTTTTATTAGTGTTTTGCCTTCCTGAATTTATATATATTGTTTTAAAAGCCAAAGAAATAAGCAAATTTTAATTCATTTTTTTTAATAAATTTTTATTAAAAAAAAAATCACAATGTGAGGTGGCACAGCCAAAACTAAAATGTCCCACAATATTAGTCGTTTAAATAGACAATAACATTATTAAGCAACAGAATCATCAAATAACAACCTTACACCCTATATTTCCTACCTTCAACTTTTAGAGCATCTTGGGTTGCAGTTCAGAAAATCTGTTCACTTTATGAATCTTAAATATTTGTTCTACTGTTTATTTAATCAAATTAAGGGTTCTCATCCATCCATATTTGATAAGGCTAGTCCATACTTGAGTTGGTGTCCTTCCATCCTTATTTAGTGATTAAAATGTCCTTTTTAACAGCAAAATGATAGGAAAAACAAAAAATTGTTGTGGCTAATATTGATGGATAGTTTTTCTAGTGTTGCCTAGTGCATGTTACACTACCTATTTTATGTCCACCAATCTAGCTGAATACAAGTTTCTTGAAGATTCTTTCAGAAATAACAATATTGGACAAAGTTCTTCATTAGGCTAACTCAGTCTCCTCTTTAACTGATTTCAGGCTTTTTGTAGTTAGTTCAAATCAGTCTAACTACAGAAACATTTTACTATTGTGTATTATGAAGTGTTTCTCTATTATATCATAGAGAAAATTATGAAGAGAGCTTTTCTGGAAGATGCTGCAAGATGTCTCTTGAAGACTTTTTGCCTGCAATGCATTAAAGTAGGAAATGCTGTTCTTGTCTCCAGTTATGATCCACATGCATGGATTGTCATCATTGTCCTTACTTTGGAAAATTGAAAGGTGGCACTCTGAATCAAATGTATTGATAAAAGCCAGTATTAGGAAAAGGAAAGTAATGATTCTGTAATTAAATAATCAAGATCTATAGTTTACATACATATTTTGAATTTGGATGATTCTTCAGACATTCCTATAAGATATATTCTTTTGTGCATTACCAAGTTGATTTTAACTAGATGATAGAAAACAAAGAATTCTTGTGTAATGTATGTAACAAGTTATGCAAATTTTTATTTATATATTTTTTTTCATTGTCATGTAATAGTTAATCTTGAGTATTTTTTAATAGTTCACTTATCTTGGTATATGTTTACCCATATTTTGTCATCATTTAGTTTTATGTCTGCTATTTTGACTGATTTTGTTGCTTCCTGATTATCATAAATGCTTATCATCTTTTTATCATATATATATAATGTTAAATTAATAATGTTCATTATCTGAAATGCACTGTTTCTTGCTTGTAAATCTGATGATTTTACTAGCTTGTCAAGCTGAGCTGGTAGATTGTTTATTGTCACTATTATATTCAATTTAATATATTCTGATGTTTTTAATATATTGTTTAATTAAATTTTTTTATTTCAATATAATTACTAACTTATTAATTATTTAATGTAATTTAATTACTATATTTTATGGCATATTAGATGCAAAAACATATAAAATGCACCCCATTTCAGCACAAATATTTAGGAAATGTAATTAGTGTATTTAAATTTACCCATGCCTTTGTTACTCAGACTCAATTTTTTTTTATTGTATTCTGGTTTAAAAAAGTAAAATTAGAATATATACTTTTATTTATCAGGGAAAAAAAAGAAGTTTAAAAGTTCTTTACAATTAAAATTTACCATTAAATATTCTACACAAGTACAATCAAAAGCTGCATAGCTATAGAGAAAAACAACAACAACAACAATAATAATACTTGTAATATGTTTAATTAAGCAATAACATTTTTATTTGAGAGTTGGGCTAGGTAATGATGAATACCTTTAGCCTAATGAAGGCCATTTGAGGTATTCATTTTCCTATGGTAGATTGCAACTTCAATTGCAGATGCAAGCCAATTTTTTTTTTTTGTAATATGAATTGTTTATGAAGATAAATTAGTGTATGTAAACTTTATTAATTGATATTAATTAAGAGAACATTTTAATAAAATGTTTTGTTAATTAATTTAACATTGACTTTTATGCATAATTATTAATTATTAAATTTAATACATATATAATCTATAATATTAATATGTATAAAGTGTGTGTGTATATGTTTATGTACATATATATATATATAATGTGTATTCCTTATACAACTTGGTACTTCTACAACATGGTTTTGCTCTAACATGGTTTGAAAATTGGGAATATCTCCTGTACAACATGACTTCCTGTTTTGCTCTAACACTGTTTTGGAAATCTTCCAAACAAAATTTCACAATTTTTAGGTGTGAACTTTGTTATTTGATATTTTTTTTTTTATTCAAGTAAGCACACGTGTTACTTCAAATTTGCCCATGGATTTTAGAATATTGAAATTTTCATTTTGTTTTGTGCCTTTTGTCAGGTTTACTTTAATGAAAACTGATAATAGAATTTTTTCTTTCTTGTCCTAGCTTTCCTATCAACCAGGTGTCATTGTCATTGTTTTCAGACTTTAGCCCTTAAGACTATTGTTTTGTTTTTATAGATTAATCTTTGTATTTACCTAAAATGTTTAAATAAACCTTTACTAAGTTTTATTAAAGTTTTTTTTTAAAACTGTAGGTAGTAGTAATTTGTAAAAATGATAAACAAAATACTGTGATATCTTGTTACTTGAACTGTTCCCAACTTGAACAATTTGTTATTCAAGCACAAATTCTGGAAAAAATTGCTCAGTACTCAACTGAACATGTGCAACCTACTAAAACAAATTATTGATTAATAACATATTTTGTCATCCATAGAAAATTATGATAAAAATAAAAAATGAAGATGATGATATTTTTGATCAAGATCTACAAAAAAGCTCAGAAGATGACAATACTTTACAAAAAGAAAACATCATTATTTAACTAAAATTAATATTAATAGTATTTTTAATTGTGCTTGTTAGTTAATTATTGATTGCTTTAATAGACATATTTCTCTTAATAATGAAAAATTATAGTATATTTTTGCTAACTTCTGGGATGTAACCCTATGTTTTGCATTAGTCCTTTGTTTTGTCCATGAAATAAAAGATTTATTTTAAATATCAGATAATATTTATATATAATATATTTTTTTATATTTTATGATTTATTACAAAAGATGGGTATTTATGACATTTTTTTCCAGATTCATAAATGATAACACCTTTAAAATAATCAAATGTTACTTAAATTAGAGTATGTCCAAATCTCTCTCATTAAGCACACCAATGAAAATTTAATAAATATAAATTTGAGTTTCAGTAGTCATTTCAACAATTATAATAGAAACATGATAGTGCTTTTACCACAAAATATTATGTAATATGGCACAGATTTATTCTGGATATAATTTACAAAAGAAATTATTCCTTTACTTTGACAACTTCATGGGTATCTGATATATTACTTGTGAATAAAATGCCTGCTGCTATCAGTAGGTATTTCTACAACTTTTTAAAGAAATATCTGAAGTTGCTAAGTTTGAAATTGTAATATTTTTGTGATCAAATTGTTTTTCATTATTTATACACTCATGATATCTTCATTCCTGAAAGTCAAAAATTTTTGTTATTTTAAAAAGTCCAGAAATCCGGACAGATATTAACATGATATATTTTTGTTTATTTATTTATTTGTTTTTGAGTTTAAATGTATTTTTTGTAAATTATAAGGTCCAGTACTAACATTTAAATTGTATATTTTGGAATGTTTTAAAATTTTTCCATTCTATTTGAATGCAACCATTCTTCATTTGTATCCTGAAAAAAGCCTGAAATATGGCCAAAAACAATTAGAAATTAAAGTATTTAATGCAATCTTAAGGTATTTTTAAAGTGTTTTACTATTAAGCATTGTGTTTCTCAGTAGTTGTAATCCAGACATCCTGAGAATATAATGTCTGGATTTTAATACTGTTACTATATATTTAAAGTAATTTAGATTTTAATAAATTTTTCATATATGTGAATTACTTTATATAAATTTTATATTTTTTTATTAGAAATAACATGCTCATCAGATGAATACAGATGTGATGATGGTACTTGCACAAAGTTAGAAAATCGTTGTGATAGAAAATATGACTGTCCGGATGGCTCTGACGAAAAAGAATGTTGTAAGTATAATTTGTGCTGTTGCATATTACAGTCAAACCTATCTATAATGGAACCTGTATATAGCGAAAACCTGTCATTAACAGAAAATTTCTTTGATCCCTTGAATTTTTTGCAAAAAGTAATGTAAATTAACCTGTATATAGAAGAACCTGCTCAATGCAGAAATGAAAAGGAAAATCAGGTCGTATAACATAAAAATTTGTATCTTTATCTAATTTAACACAAATTTAACCAGAAGTTTACAAGCCTAGGATGTATAAATCATGAAGTCAAAAAATACACATACCCAATAACAGAATAGCAAAATAGAACTACTGTATTACAGTAATTTTATTGGGATTTGAAAGGAAAGTTTTTGCATATTTTTATTAACAGCTGTTTTTATTTAACATAGATATGTGATGTAATTATAAGTTGTGAAATTTAACACATTATTCTGGATGTGAGATTTTATTCTTTGTTTTCAAGCTTACTTTAAACTTTTTTACATTACATTTTATTTGAATAAAATCAAGTCAAAATGCAGATGAAATGCACATCAGGCATATTATGCATGCTTTTTAAGTTTTATAAAGGATATCATACTATACAAACAGTATGATATCCTTTATAAAACTTAAAAAGCATGCATAATATGCCTGATGTGCATTTCATCTGCATTTTGACTTGATTTTATTCAAATAAAATGTAATGTAAAAAAGTTTAAAGTAAGCTTGAAAACAAAGAATAAAATCTCACATCCAGAATAATGTGTTAAATTTCACAACTTATAATTACATCACATATCTATGTTAAATAAAAACAGCTGTTAATAAAAATATGCAAAAACTTTCCTTTCAAATCCCAATAAAATTACTGTAATACAGTAGTTCTATTTTGCTATTCTGTTATTGGGTATGTGTATTTTTTGACTTCATGATTTATACATCCTAGGCTTGTAAACTTCTGGTTAAATTTGTGTTAAATTAGATAAAGATACAAATTTTTATGTTATACGACCTGATTTTCCTTTTCATTTCTGCATTGAGCAGGTTCTTCTATATACAGGTTAATTTACATTACTTTTTGCAAAAAATTCAAGGGATCAAAGAAATTTTCTGTTAATGACAGGTTTTCGCTATATACAGGTTCCATTATAGATAGGTTTGACTGTAATATGCAACAGCACAAATTATACTTACAACATTCTTTTTCGTCAGAGCCATCCGGACAGTCATATTTTCTATCACAACGATTTTCTAACTTTGTGCAAGTACCATCATCACATCTGTATTCATCTGATGAGCATGTTATTTCTAATAAAAAAATATAAAATTTATATAAAGTAATTCACATATATGAAAAATTTATTAAAATCTAAATTNATTTAAGTATTTTTTACTATACAAACAGTAAAAAATACTTGTACTGTGTATGGGGAAGATGTTTCTAAACTCTAAATGTGTCAAATGTTTTTAAAGTTTTGTTTGGGAAATTTTCAACTAACAAATACAAAATGTAAGGGGTGCCCAAAAGCTGTTGAAGAGAAATTGCAGGAAGAAATTTTTAAAGATCAACGAATAACAACTCATGAATTTGCAACAAATCTTAGTAGGTCACAGACACATATTATTGAAACACTTCATCCACTTGAAATGGTTGTAAAACATGCTGATGATTCTGTTTTGCAAGCAGTTTGTGTTTTTCTATTTATGAAAAAAATGAACTGAATTGAGTATAATTTTGCCTGATGAAGGTAGGGAGCTGTAAGCTTATATTTTATTTTTAAACTGGTTACCCATTTTTATTTGAGAGAACATTTTTATGGATGAATGACAAAAATTAAAGTTAAAATAAAAATATTTATTATTAACTGAAAATTGTTCTAGCAGATGGTGATTGTTCGGTCAAGTATTGAGGTACCAGTGTATTTGATTAATGTGACTTTGATATATGCAGTAACATCAAGAAATTTATTGATCACATTAATTAAGAGATACTTATAGCAGGTTATCTGTATATAGTGGAAACCTGTCTACTATGGAAGAGTTTTCAGTTCCTTGGAGTTCCATTATAGACAGGTTTGATGGTATTATATAATGAAATTTGTTTAATCTATATGTTTATATTTATTTTTAGAATAAAACAAAGTAAACTTAATAAAATTGTCAAAAACAATTCAGTTAACAATTTGTTTTCAAATTGTAACAATGTTGATAATTTTTCAGATGATTACAAATAGATGATGATTAATCTTTTACAACAATTTTGTTTTGTATTGACATTAGTTTTTTTTTGTTGATATGAATTTTGGGTGTCGGCTCTAAGGGACTGGAACCCATTCAGCTCTCCAATAGTATTTTAAATGGTACCAGATTCCCAAAGTTGAAAGAAATTATTTTTATTTTTTTAACTTTGGGGGCTTGGCATCATTTAAAATATTATTGGGGTTCAAATGGATTTTGGCCCCTTAGAGTTGGTGCCTATGACATATATAGTATATATTATATAAAGTAATACATATATAAAGATGTATTACTTTATATAAGTTATGATCATTATAGAAAATATAATATCCAAAACATTGGTTTGAAAATAGATTTGTTTAAAAAGATAAAAATAACAATTGACTTATTCATCTTTGACAATTTGACCTTTGGACACTCACTGTATAGATTGTTCTCAATGACTTTGCATCACTTTCAAACAACATGATATAATTATGGATATAGTGTGTGCCATTGTGTGGATATAGTTATCTATCATTTTGTGGTAATGCATAATTTTATAGTCTTGGTCACAGGTGATGCTATTGTCACCTGTCAATTGTCAAATGTCAATTGTCAAAGGTCAAAACTTATCTACTCCAATAATTTGCATATTAAGATTATTTAAACAATCTTAATATGTAAATTATTGGAGTAGTTAAGTTTTTTATACAATTTCTTTGTAATATAAATATTTCAACATATAACAGTATAAATAACAAAACAGAACAAATATTTAAATCAAACATTTTCTTTATAGAATTTTGCAGGAACAAATACAATTTTATCAGGAAAAGTTAACTTTAAGAACTTTGTAATAAAGTTATATTTGTATCTACAGCAAAGTACTTGATTTAAATATTTGTTTTTAGTCACTCATTGTCTGTAGACTGCATTATTTTATTATATTTTTTGACGAGATGAAACACCTCAGGCTTCATTTATAATAGTGATTTATTTTAATGTTTAAATAAATAAATGTTAAAGTAACAATGTAAATAAATGATCTTTTAAAATTAAACCTGAGGTGTTTTGTCATTTGTTTGTTTCCCATAGTAAGTTTTTCATTTTCTGCATTGAACTGGGTTACACTCTGTAATACAGATGTGGACATCATGCTGACCATTTAATAGGAGAAACTATTATCATACAGGCATTAAATTATAAATAAATGTCTCTAGACCGACATTTATTTATAATTATCCTGCAATTAATTTTACCGGGGAAAAAGACAAAGAAAATGAGATTGCATTCTTGGACCTAAAAATTGTTAAATCCTGGGATACCATAATGTATTCCGTATTCCACAAGTTCAGCGGTGTACCTCCCCTGATCCCTGCCACAGCATACCAGCTACAACATTACATTAATGTGGCAATCACACCTTTAATTAGAAGGGCCTTTCTTTTATCTTCCAGTCAAGCTGCTATCGATACCGAACTTAATATCATTCGCTGTGCAGTAAATGAGGCGGGCTACAATAATGCCAAATTTATCTACATCTTAAATAAAGTAAAAAGATCACTTTTTCCTGCTACTACACTGCATCTCCCGAAAGAATCCACAATAGTCTTTCCCGCGATACCATTTTGTGATCACGTCACTCTCCGTATTTGCCATATTTTTAAGTGACATGCGTTTTTTTCTGCCAGTTTCCCCACGGCCAAATCTTAGGAGGTTGCTGTCCAATGACAGGGATCCTACTTCCATTCTTGAAAGATTGGAGATTTATTTTATCCCATTAGAAAATATGTTGGGTGGTTGCATTATATTGGCGCGACAACTAGAATGTTGTCTTGTCGTATTTCAGAGCATTAGTATTCTATCAGGAAAGGCAGGAATGAAACTGAGCTCGCTAGAATGGTATTACAACACCAACATACCCCATTGTGGGACGAGGTGGCCATAATAAGGCATTGCAATAACAGAAATATCGTATATATTTGGGAGGCCCTCCTTACCAACATATTAAATCCCTGCAATACCCCCACACTTGATTTGTGGATCAATTTGTATAACTATCTAAAACAACGTATCTAGCTCCACAATTTGGAGGAACATAGCACATGCGCATTATAACCGTGCGTATTTTTGTTTAAAAATTGTCTTATGTTCTACTGTTGCTTCCATTTCAAAACATTAATATGCTTGGAATGGTTGGTTATTTGTAATCAAAAAAAGAGTTTAACTGTTTTTAACGGCCTGAGGAAGATGAAAATAATTATCGTCGAAAGTGCTTGTCGGTCTAGAGACATTTATTTATAATTTAATGCCTCTATGATAATAGTTTCTCTGGTTACACTCTGATAAATTGGAAGAAAAATTCTGAATGCTCAAAATGTCAAATATGCAAAATGAAAATTTGCTTACTTTATGACATTATTTTGATGTTATATTTCCATTGATTTTGTTTTTCAGATATTAAATTGCAGTAACTTATTAGATACAAACAAAATATCTAAGATTAAATCATGTTATAGTGTATGTTATTGAATTTACTGTAATTTGAAATAATGAGATTAACATAATTTGTTTGATCAAAAGCATTGACACAAAGAATTAATAAAAAGACTATTAATTAATGAAATTAAATTAATAATTATGATATTTTATTAACAAAGATTTACAGAAACATGCAAGAGGTCAATTAATTTCAAAGGAATCAGAAATTGTACCAAAGGAGTGTATTACTACTTTATGTGGAATTGATTTTATTATTATTATTAATTTTTATTTATATAATTTATTATTAATTTGTTTTAACCTTATTATTGTGAAATTGATTAGTTAATATAAATTTTTAAATTTTAAAATAGCTTGTTTACCTAATGAATGGAGATGTGATGCTGGTCCTTGCATATCAAATCATCATCGATGTGATGGAAAAGTAGATTGTCCAAGAGATACTTCTGATGAAGCAGACTGTCGTAAGTTATTCTAATAGCATTGAAATTTTGTAATAAAATACTATTTACTTGTAGAAATAAGTTATTTATAATTATTAACACTAGTTTTCTCATAGAGAAAAATACTTTATACTGGTCAAATAATTTCGCATTATCGTAATCTTTACAGTTACATAGTCTCTTACATAAAATTACAAAAGTGGAAAGCACCAAAATTTGAAGTATTTTTATGGAGGGTTTTATATCGATTTTGTTTTCGACACTGTTTCACATAAAAACACGTAGTTAATTAACAATTAACTTCATTCACTTTTGGATACAACTGACTGGGGTGACAACTACACAAGAACTCTCTCCGACTTTCAAAAAGTATGTAGGAATTTCCACCTTTGACTTGACACTCAGATCAGTTAAAACAGAGGGTATTTACAGAAAAGAGTGCATGTTTTCAAACATTCTTAAATGTGACACATGTTCAATCCACATCAAGCTGATGTTTTGTCATTTGAGTCAGCACACCTACTAGTCAATGTGTGCTTATTGATGTATGTTATTTTGTGATTTTATGACTTTGAGAACTGAATATATCAAAAAAAGCTGTAGATTCCTCTATGGCTAGCAGTATATTTTCATATTTTACCTATAGAGGAATCCAAAAAGGAAATGTTTGTTGTTATCTTTACTGTATGCATATATACAGGTACAATAGAGCATCGTTTATCTGAATTAATTGAGGACTGGGGTTGTTTGGATAACTTATTTTTCGGATAACCGATTATGTACAAAAAAATATATTAACCTATACCATGTTGAAATTATTCTCTGTTGCGTGTTGCTTTGCATTGAATTTTTGTCAATGTTAAGCCTAACGTAAACTTTTTAAAATAGTAATCATGTCTATTGTATTGTTAAAAATTATTTCTTTATTTTGTACAAACAAAACAAATATATTGAAAAATATAAAAACAAAAAAATTATATTTTGGAAGTTAATCTAGTGTCAAAAACGTTTGTTTCAGCATGACACAGTCAGACTGGAATGCTTTCGGTTAACCGACGTTTTGGTTGATCGGCTTTTGGATAAATGATGCTCTATTGTATTTAGCTTAGTTTGACACTGTTTGAAATTTTACAAAAATGTTTTATTTAGAAATTTACTTAGAAGACTATGAAATTATTAAAGTACTCTCTTTATTCCAATTAACGTAAACAATACAAATGAACAAATATAGTGAAAAGCATTGTATAGCTTATCAGTATTAAGTTCCTGACTATAATCTTCCAACTACCATTCCTAAATCTAAAAAATTTTGAATTCTATGTCTGATTTCAAGGGTTTTGGGTAAGAGGTTATATATCTGTATAAAAGCTATATTTAAATTTTGTTTGTTTTGGTTGAATTTCTGAAGTTGTTACTATGATGACAATATATATTTATTTTATTCAAAATTTCCATATTTAGTTTTTTTTGATATTTTATTATTTGAAGACATGTTATTCAAATAATAAAATATCTGATAATGTTTTTATGATTATTATATTATGTAATAGAATGTTACATATGTTTTGATTACCATATTACATGATTACAAAATAAGAAATTTTGATAAAAGCATTTGTGATAAATTGTATTAATTCTGCTATTTCAAGAAGAAATAAATATTTTTAAATACATAAACAAGAATAAATATAAATATTTTTATTTTGTTTATTAATATTTCATTAGTTTATTATATTATTAATGATAGATTTAGAAACTTATCAAAACCTGATATTAATCAATGCCAAACAATTGCCATAATGCATTGTGCTATTTTTTTGCTTCTATTAATAATTAAATTTTAAGTAAGGTACTAGTGGTAGGTGTTAGGTGCCATCTCTTATTAAATTTAATAATTATAAATTAATATTTATTAAATAATTTAGAATATTCTGAAAGGAGAATTGGTCTGCAGTGGGACTCAAACCTGCAACTCTCACTTACTATGTTGATGCATTGCCAGGATATGCTAACCAGACCCTAAGTGATTCTCTGCTTCTATCATATTTAATCTTAGATATAATCATCCACAGTTAATTATTTGAAATTTAATTATTAATAGTAGTGGAAAAATAGCCTGATGCATTACAGCAATCATTTGGCACTTATTTATTATTAATGATTTTTTTTCTTTACAGCACCAGTAACAAAAGAATGTAGTTCATTTGAATTTCGATGTGGTGATGGTACATGTATTCCAATAAGTGAGAGGTGTAATTATCGAATAAACTGCCATGATCAATCTGATGAAAGAAATTGTCGTAAGATAACTTTTAAAATATATTATAGTATTATGAGAGAGAAAATTTTTCTTTAAATATTTTTTGATTTAAAAAGAAAGGGTAGAAAACAAATTTCTAATTCTAGTTATGTTGTTTATAATATATACTGCATAGAAAATCTCAGTTAAAGAAATAAGTATCAGAACTGTACTTTTATTAGTAATATTAATTATTAGTTTAGTTATAATATGTAAATGTGTGTTATTACTGTAAAATTCTTATCAATCATTAAATTTAGAAATCATAGAAATATATTCTTTGTATTTTATTCATTAATTTTGGAATTTCTAGATTCCATCCTCATAATCTTAAACATTGCTATTAATTTTTCAAACATAAGAAATATTTTTTTGAATATTTTTAAACTACTAAATAATATTATATTTAACAAATTAGTATACAAAGGATTTTGCATTTTCTAAAGATGTTATTAAATATGTTAGACAAAGAAAAAGCTGTTTTGAGTTTTTAATTGCAATTCAGATTTGGCATATAACCTGTAAACCTTTCAAATTGCCTTTTAAACACGGATAACCTATGGGTAATCAACATGAAAATGTGGCAATATAAAAATTTAGGCAACTGTCTTGCCTGCCTGTTTGACTAAGATTTTTTGGATATGTTCATGTCATACCTCTTGTGAAATATAATGAAATTTTTATACACAGTTCAAAGGAATAAATTACTTGGGTTGTCCAGAAAATAAGAACCATTTGGTCATAAAAAATAGAAAAACTAAGAAAATTCAAAATCTTTTTTACTTCAGTAAAAATACTTATTTACATTATTTTTTAACATATTCTCCATGGACATTTAGGCATTTGTTATGATGGTATACAAACTTTTGAATGTCTATTCTATAAAGGGGATGTTCAAAACTTCCCATCTGAATTGCTCCCAAGTACTACTATTTGTGTTTGTCCGACAATATTTTTGGCATCTAGCTCGTACAGAGTTTATGGTATCCAAAGTGGTCTATGATAATTTGTTGGATGAGAGAATGAGAAATTTATGGAAACCACTTACAGTTCTCAAAACTGAAGCATCAGTTTCCTCTAATAGTAATGGCAATTTTTTTGATTAAGTCCTGAATAATGAAGGAAGGTCAGCCAATGCATTCCTCATTGTGAATATAAATAACAGTATTTTTGAACATTCCTCTCTCATTGTTTCCTATATACTGCAACAAGCAGGTGATGAATTTCAAATGATTGAACATATTCTGCATTCAAAAAATGAATGATAGATCATACTTCATGTTTAATTGGATTTTCAAATTTTTAGTGTATTTTAAAAGATTCTATAATAATAGAAATTGAAGCTTGACAGTCTCAGTGGCAGCTGGGAGATGACTGAAGTGGTTGATTTTGACACATAACTGGCGTGGTGATGTATGCAACTGTTATATACAAATGCTTTTTACTTTCTGACAACCCTTTTAAGTTATAAAATAGAAACTACACGTGCAAACCTAAAAATTATATGTATTTAGAACAGTTTTTTTATGTCTCCTATTTCAGAAACATTTATGTCTGAAACAGTAGGCTATGTAATATAAATATATATTTTGTGGAATTTTTTTTTCCAGCTTGTCAACATGATCAATTTATGTGTGAAAATGGTTTTTGTATTAGTAAAAGTAAAAAGTGTGATGGATATAATGATTGTCAAGATGGCTCAGATGAAAGAAATTGCCGTAAGTATATACTTTGTTTAATTCTTAACTGAATATACATCTGTTTTTTTCTGATCTAATTCAGTATTTGAAACATCGAGAAAACATTTTCTGTGTTCCACCAGTGCTTAAAATTAAATATAATGATGATAATATTTCTATAAATTCTTGATATTATTTGAACAAAAGTATATATTATGTATAGTATCTGATATACAATGAGTGTCAATTATCTGAATGCCGATCAACCGAAACATCGGTTAACCAAAAGCGTTCCATTTGGACTGTGTTGTGCTGAATCGAATGTTTTTGATACTAGAATAACTTCTAAAGTATAATTTTAGAATAACTACATTTTATATAAGACTTATCTTTCAAAATTCCTTGAGAAATAAATAAAGTGAAGCAAACATGCAGGCAGTTAAGTCTTCAGACTAAAAATATATGAATATATGATGTGTGTTTTATAGACTGTATTAGTAACATTGTTATTTTTTTAATTAAAATAACTAAAACTGTACATAATTATTTGAGATATGGGATTTTACTATTGCAACTCCTCTTATTAATTCTGATGAGTCATGTAAATTGTCATATTGTTCTTAGAAAATATGAGATTTATTTAACTTCCTTATTTACTGTATTATAATTTTTGATAAAATTGCATAAAACATATGAAATAGTTTTAAAAAAACTGCTATTATTGCTAATTTTAAGCTTGTTTACAGATATTGTTTTTACCAATATGCATTATCACTATGTTGTGATTCTGTTTTCTTTTATGGAATTACCACAAATTTAGTTCTGTGCTTTGACTATAAATAGCTCTACAATACATTTTAAGGTATTGGAAAAAATTGTAAAAGTGGTTAGGGAAAAGATAGTTACTGGTAGTTTTCTGTATTAATTAATTAATTAATTCATGAATTGTAATATTATTGTAGTTTGTGTTGTATTTCTAATGATTTTGTTGTATGTATTCCCTACATCAGGGGTTGTCCCAGTATGTCTAAATAAATAAATAAAATAGTTACTGGTATTTAAAGAAACCCTTGAATTTTGTTAGAATACCAATTATTTGTATATTAAAATACCAATTATTGAATAGGAAAAATTGGTACCATAACAGAGAGGGGGTGTCTATTTTTAACCAGAGAAATGGAGATATAGGGTGGACTTCTAATAGTGACAATATGGTATTATTCTTCCAAACAATAATTTATCTATACCATAAAATTTAGCTATAATTTGATAATTATCAAGTATTGCTTAATTTATCAAAAAAATAAATAACAAGTTCAGCTATTTAGCTTAAAGCATTTTTGTTTAATTTTAAATAAATGTTTTCATTTATACAACTGAACTTTTATTATCTTGATTTAGAAGTTGGAATTTGGTAAAGTCAACATCAGAGAAGCTGACACAATATACAAAAATGTTGTGTCAGCTTTTCTAAAGCTTTCTCTAAAGTCTCTCTGTTTTTAAATTCTACAGAAGTAAAATTTAAAAATAATTAACAGAATAACTTTGTAAGACAAAATAAAACTGTTACAATGGGAGCAAAACTATTTTGTATATCTAAGACTTTTGGGAGAAAAGTTAAAAACAAGAAACTTTTTCATTTATGTTTGACTTCTATAAATCTTTATATTATTAAAATTTTTATTAAGAACTTATTGATTTTTGATAGCTTTAAGATCATGCCTTTTCAATTTTAATGTTTTTATGATGTTATAAAATGTTTAAAATACAGTGGGTGATTGGTTAGTGAACATAATCCGTTCCAAGACTTTGTTCACTATCTGAATTGTTCATTAACTGATTATCGATTTACCATAGATTTTTATGGGAATTTGATTAACTTTAACGTTCTGGAAACTCCAAAAAATAAAAAAAATATGCTTTCTTACTATGTTTATTATATGTAATAATAAAAATACATATATACACAATCTTGCATTTTTGTTAGTCATGTTTTTTCCGTTTGTGGTGGGGTTAAGAATCTGTCTAATGTCAATTGCTTTTCTCTCTTCTTCAGGATTTTTCAGACGTAATTAATAGCATTGTAATTGTAGAGATCCCCAAGCCTATTAACCTCAACCTGATTTGGATGCCATTCTAAGACCATTGTTCTGATATCCTCCCACTTTTTCAAAAGATCTTTAATAGCAGATATTGGCATTAATTCTCTTTTTCAAAAGAAAACACATGTTGCCGAGTTTCTTGGTGTTCTTCATTCAAGAGTTCTTGGCATTCTTCTGTTGTCAGATCCGTTTCAGGTTCCATTATGAGCTCTTCAATGTTCTTTATTTCTCAGATGTAATTTTTGTTACTGTATAATCAAGAAGACTCAAGCAGCTAAAGGAGTACCTTTCTTAGATAAGATTGAACTGCGGCCTGCTGTAGACCTGTTCACCCCCTTAAGGGCTTTTGTACCTTTCTAGCCAGTCCGCATGGCACTGGAATTAGGAGCCTCACGCGAATTTATGTATTTGTTTTTGTAATCTTGTCGGGATATTAATGTAACCTGTGTTAATTGTGTTCTTTATTCTATATATTTTGTGTTCAATAAACGGCCCCGATGCCGGACATCATGGGATCCCATTCCTCTTTCCCTTCATCCCCTTTATCCCCACCTCACCCTTCTAACCCCACCCCTCTCTTCACACTATTACCCCNCTCACGCGAATTTATGTATTTGTTTTTGTAATCTTGTCGGGATATTAATGTAACCTGTGTTAATTGTGTTCTTTATTGTATATATTTTGTGTTCAATAAACGGCCCCAATGCCGGACATCATGGGATCCCATTCCTCTTTCCCTTCATCCCCTTTATCCCCACCTCACCCTTCTAACCCCACCCCTCTCTTCACACTATTACCCCCTCCTCCTCCGGCTATGCCAATTGGTTCGGCCATCTCTGTCTTCAACCTGTCTTCAACCTGTAGACCTGTTCAAGCCATATTGCCCAGCAACATCAGACATCTGCCCACTTTGAAATTGTGCACTACCTTTGCTATTATACTCTCACCTTTTGAAAATAAAAACCCATGCAAAACTTAATGAGTGACAGTCTCATAAATGCTGTAAAAAATACTTTCTGTCAGAAAAATAAAAGGCTGGAATTACAAAAGTGAGTTTCAAAGTTCAGAGGAATACTATCTGATCAGTATATACCAGGCTGAGCATCAATGTTGACATCTCCTGCGCTCCAAAAAGTTTCGAATTGTTGCCTGAAGTCAAGGAAAGACCAATTGGTATTCATTATTTTACGTCGCTTCTTCTTGTGTTTGTTCTGTGAGGTGTTCATTGTACGGACATAAAAATCTTTCTCAAAAGTGTTCGTTATCTGATTTGTTCGTTAACCGATTATCGATTTACCATAGGTTTTTATGGGAATTTGATTAATTTATTCTGGAGACCCCAAAAAATAAAAAATATAAACACTTTCTTACTATGTTTATTATATGTAATAATAAAAATACATATATACACAATCTTGCATTTTTGTTAGTCATGTTTTTTCCGTTTGTGGTGGGGTTAAGAATCTGTCTAATGTCAATTGCTTTTCTCTCTTCTTCAGGATTTTTCAGACGTAATTAATAGCATTGTAATNCAATAGTTTGAACAATAAATATTAAATAAATTTTTCTCAATTTTCATATGATAACTAGTAGAAAATACTTATTTTTTTAAAAAATACATTTAACTTTGTACAAAGTTCAATTTCACCAGAGATAGAATATTATTTACTGAATGTAAAGCAAGTTATTTTTCATATAGCTTGATTGGTCCAATAAATATCTAATGTCTAATAATATCATATAAAATGTAGTCATGTGATAATTTCTTTCTTCTAGTGGAAGTAATCTGTAATGAAGCATTCCCAATCAGAATTAACCTTACAAGCCTCCTGACTTTCCCTTAGTATGTGGTATTGTATAGGGATCACCACACAAGACTATGAATGTACATCTTTAAAATTGATGCACTGCTACTCAGTGTAGCTTTAAAAATCTTGAGGAGCTCTACAGAGCTATTGTAGTGGGTATTGTGTGTGGTGTGCACCAGCTCAGCTTCCTCAAAGTTAATATCCTAACATCCACCTCAGATTCAGAGACATAAACTGATAAAGCAGTAATGGGCTTATATTTGTCTACAGTATATTTGTGTTCTTTTAATTTGCTAGCCAAAGAATGAATGGTAGGACCTATATATTCTAAATTATGATCAAATCTTCTATCTGTGATTAGGATTTGGTAGACACCAGGAGCATAGTGGTTACTTGTTCTATATCATTATGCAGCAATTTAAAGATGGTTAGATTACAGCAATATCTTCAGAGCTGTGCTTAATGAAATTGTGTATTTAATGAAGTGTGTTTAATGAAATTGTGGGTCACTCAGGCAAAGTGCCTGAGTGACCCACAATTTCATTAAACACAACTGTGTATGATGATATAATCTATGAATATATGATGGAATCTGTCTTTGTTACATCTCTTGTGATTATATTACACTGTAATAAGTCCATATTTGATCTAGTACTTTGAGTGTTCCTGTTTAAGATACTTAAAAGTAAAAATTAATATTCAGTATATTTAATGCATAACCTGTTGCCATGGTTTACATTGTGTTCCATTAGAGTATGCTATGTTTCAAAAAGTTTATTTAGAAAAGGATATTAAGCTTGTATACATTTGTTTTTAAACATGTTCTCTTGAAAAAGTGCTTGAAAGCTTTGAACAAGCATTCAAGCACTTTTTCATTATGAAACTATATATTTAATGCTTCAAATTAAACTAAACAAATTGAATATCTGTTATAAGAATTAAAAAATTTCTTTGTTTCCAGTTTTTTGTACAGAACATTAAAAGCTGAAATTTGATGTAGTATTTCTTTTTTTTTAACATGTAAGATTTCAAAACTTAAGTCAAAAAATCTCTCTCATGTATTTTTCCAGTAAATGACTGTTATTCTCTCCAAAGCTATTACATCCAAATATGTGTAGTTTATGAAAGTTATTTTGTGTATTTAGATTAATGTACATTTGTACATTAATACATCAATTAATGATACATCTAATCTAACTGTATCATTAGATTAGATCTTAACTGTAGATTAGATTGTGTATCATTAATAATATAAAATAATATCAATTAGATTGTGTACATTTCAAAAAATCTGTTAAGTACTTTTTTGTTTTGTATTTTATTTGTATTCCACTAGATAAGGGAATTATTTTCTGTGTCAATAAAGAATTGATTGATTTTGATATTCACCAATAAGTCCATTGTTTATATTGGTGCCATAACTAGAATGCTAGCTATTTGTGTATCTGAATATCAGAAATATATCCATTTGTTAGGAAAACAACAGAATTAAGTGTGTTGCCAGATTCCTTCAAACCTGTCTGGTCTGATGTGAGTTTGTTGCATACATAGACTATAGAATAGTAAACATTTGAGAAACAGTTCATATTTTGAAAGACAATCTATGTAATCATTCAATAGTAAGTCATCTCAAACATTGGATCAATTGTATTTTAAGTCACTTAAGTAAATTCAATTTATTCACAATAAAAAAATATATATTTCTAATATTTGTATGTTGTTTTAATTATTTTAAATTTTCAAATTGTTATTCTGAATGTGTTCCAAAAATCTAACATCTTTTATAATTATGTTCTAAAGTCTGGTTTATAGACTTTGACATTCTGTTCTGCTTACATCCATTGATGATGATCCATTGTCTTGTAAAGTTTGTAGTGTCAATATTAACATTTCACTAACTAATACTTGCTGCTGGACATCACAACAATCTAACTGATGTTTTGGTTCATGATAAAACTTGTTCTTTCATTGGCCAAGAATCAATAGAATTGTGCAATTGTATTATATGTTCTGTATTTGATGGAAGTGCTCAATTGTCTCATCTCATGCAAATGTAAAATGGAAAATATTTGAGTTATAGATATACAGCAAATTCTGTAAAAAAGTTATTCAATATTATATAACATTTGGATTAAAAAGATATAAAAAAAATTAAAAGGTTTTATATGGAAATGAGCAATTATTTATTGTGACATCATCACAATGCCAGGCTGCAATTTTTAATTTATTTAATTTAAAATATATACTCTCCTTCTCAAATTATTAGTAGTGTTTTGCCCCTGTAAATCATACTTTTCCATTAGCAATGGAGTTGTGCCAATCATCTATTAACTCCTTTCAGGGGAAAGTTTTNTACTTTTCCGTTAGCAATGGAGTTGTGCCAATCATCTATTAACTCCTTTCAGGGGAAAGTTTTGAATTGAAATAACGTGACTTCCAATTTACATTGGAAGTTCATATATTATTAATTGGGATATCCTGCCCCTAAGGTTTCTATATTTGGTTTCACCTTCCATCTATCTAACATTGTTCTCAAGATTAAGGAAATACAGATGGACGGCAGAAAGTTGACAGTGGGAATTTATAGGTCTACAATTTTTTCAAATTGTTTGCATTTTGTTTCTTTGTAGTAGATAAGAATTAAGTAACTCAAATAATATCATTATATTGAGATTATGACAGATATTATTGTTGATATTATTCTTAATTTAATGAAAGTTAAATTGCAGCTAATTTTGAATATATCTACATTGTGGAATAAGAAATATGTTTGTCACATATAAGAAATGTATTCAGTTGGAGTATAATGCATTCCTAATTGTCAAATACAATATTAATTATTGAACTGTAATGGAACATTGTTCAACATCCTTTAGTGCAACTCAGTGAAAGCAGATCTAATGAAGTCTATAAACTGGCCTTAATGTTATTATTCCATTTTGTTCTAATTGCCTGAAGCTAATGTAAATATTATCAAAAGTACTCCTAAGTATATCATTATAATTTTATAACTTTTTATTGTGTTTTTTTTAATAGTTTTTGACATATTTTAATCTGAAAATACTTTAATAGCTTAAAGTACTTTCACATTTAATGCATAACCTGGTTTACATTGGTTTACATTGTGCCATGGTTTACATTGTGTTCCATTAGAGTATGCTATGTTTCAAAAAGTTTATTTAGAAAAGGATATTAAGCTTGTATACATTTGTTTTACTTTAATAGCTTAAAGTACTTTCACATTTGTTTTATTCAAATCAGGAAAATATTTCTAGATTAAACAGTAAAATCAGTTTGACAAAGTTCATGCCAAGTTTAAGGACTGATTTTACTTCTTAAAAATACTTTTCTATTGATAAAAAAAAGACCATGTGTTTATTAGTTTTTGATGCTCTATAACATATATAAGAATTATCAAACTCAGAAGGGAATACTTAGGTGATGTTCTTTGTATATTAATTTTATAATTAAAATTTGAAATGTGTCACTGAAAATTTATATTTTTAAAATTAATCAGTTTTTCAAGTTTAAATATTAAAGTTGAAAATGTTAGATTAAATAATAAGTTTTTTGTTTTTTTTTGCTGGTAAAGGTTTGAGAATGGTTAAAGAAGTCAGAACCAATTTGTGATGCATTATATGTTGTTTTTTGATATTGTATATCAAAATTTAATAATGTCTGTTATTATATCTGTTATAATATGTTTTGAATTTGATATTGAATGATTCAAAATATTCCTTTAATTAATTATTTATATATTTTTAGCTGGACCTTGCCAAGCCAATGAATTTCGCTGTGATGATGGTACTTGTATTGCAGCAGTGGATCATTGCAATCGACAATATGATTGCCCAGATGGTTCAGATGAGAGAGATTGTCGTAAGTTTGACAACTTTAAATTAAACTGCATTAGCATTTAAATTTATTTTCTAACAAATTGTTTTATAGCTATAAGCAAAAATATAAGCTAGAAATCAAAATTACTGCAATTTATTTATTTTGCATTATTTAATATCTAAGCTCTGTATTTCTTTATTGGCCAGCGCATTAAAAAGTAAAATTTAGAATCTTTTTCCTTTTTTAAGAATCTGGAAAAATCGCATTGTAAAGTTAAACTATTCTTTTAAGCATTCTGCTTTAAAATAACTGCTTATATAGCTTTTACTACAGATTTCTGTATCCAGTTTTTAAGCAGTTCATCAAGTTTCCTTTCTTCTTGCCTTTGAAAACACACTACTTCATCTCTGCCAACTGTGTGCGACTCTTCTGTAGGCCCTACCACATGTTACATTGAACAATTCCGCTGTTCTGATGGCACTTGTTTGAATATTGCTCAACGATGTGATGGGTATACAGATTGTCTTCAAGGAGACGATGAAGCTGGCTGTGGTATGTTGCTAGCTATCCCATTTCCTCAATGAATCAACCAACATATTGGTCTTAATTTCAAAAATGATTTCATTCTTTCAAAGTTAATAACTTTTTTAAAATTTTTGTTCTAAAATTATTTAAATTATATTCATTTATTTGTTTGAATTTTATTTAAAAAAGATTTTGGTTTATCAGTTCTGTATAGAACAATTAGTTTTTTTTATGTAAAATGTTTCATAATCTTTTTTTAAATATGTATTTTTTTTTACAATACACTTTTCTCATTAGAATCATATTTTTTAAATATAGTTCTTATTGATAATCATACTGTTAATTAAAATATTAATATAGAAGATTTTATAGAAAATGTATATAATACAGTAGAGTGTTAATTATTCGAAATAAGCAATAATTTATTGTGATATTGTCACAATGCTTGCTGGATTGCAATTTTTAATCATATTTCTAATTTATTTAATTTAAAATATATGCTCTCCACCTCAAATTAGTAGTGGCTTGCCTGTGTACATCATACTTTAACTTTAACAATAGAGTCATGCCAGTCATCTATTAACTGCTTTCAAGAGAAAAGTTTTGAATTGAAATAACATAACTTTTGGTTTTGCATCAGAAATTTGTATATAGTTAAGCTCGGGGCCTCCTTCCCTAAGCTTTCCACATCTAGTCTTGAATTTCACCTATATAACTCTGTTTTTGAGATTAAGGAAAGGTGGAAATTTATAGGTCTACAATTTTTTCAAATTGCAGCTCAATAATCATGGTAGGACACTTTTGTATACAGGTATATAATTTTTTTAGATAACTGATCACACTTGGTAAGAAAGGAATGAAAAGATAAATACCTTATATAAAAAAAATATTAATTTTAATTCTAATAATAAAAAATGATGAAAGCATAAAAATTTAATGTACATAGTATATCAATGATTAGAAATAATGAAAAACTGTCTGCTGAATGAAATGAAAAATTGTACAACATATTGATGAGATTTTGAATTCATAATAGTACAATATATACAATAGTAAAACACATAATAACAAGATAACTCATTAGTGGGCCTAAAGAAAATCATTGACACTATTTTGTAAATCTTCATTTCTGGAATTAGTGTGCTCTGAAGTTCATCTCAGTTGATCAATTTTCTGAATTGATTAATTATTGATTAATTAATCAATAATTAATCGATGAACTTCATGATTTTCAGATAATCAACGCTCTACTGTAATTAAGTTTTGATCAGTTTTTAATAGAAATATGATATATGAAGTATTTTTTAATTTTAATTTCTTTAGATCTTAACTTTTAAAATTTCATTATCAATTTCTAGAATATGCACACGATTGATTTAAAAAAATAGTTCAAATTTAAAAAAAAAGCAATTGATATAATTGCTTTTTTTTAAAATTTGAACTATTACAATATTTACATTTGTTTGATCGATTGGTCATGCATTTAATTGTATAACAAATATTTATTATAGATAAATAAGTGATCAGAATATTAGTTAATACAAAACACTACAATCAATACAATGTTATATGCATATACTATGATTATTTTCATATGATTGTCTTTTGCCGTAATTCCCAAACTATAGTTATATTAAAATTATAGATGATAAACACCATAAAAACTGGATATTATTAAAGAAATACAAACTGAAATCAAAATTCCAGAAAAAGTTATAAATTTTATGAACAAACCGCTTTCATAGCTTTAAGCAGTCATCCTCAGTTTACAAATTAAGTTTGGAAAAGTCAATTTTTTAAAACAAGGAAATGTTATCTGATTGGATGTCAATATAGCAATGTTCATTGGAGGAAAAGATTATTACAGTACTTCAAACAGGGATTTCTGTACTTGAGAAAGGGCGTTGCTTTCCCTGTAATTGATGGCTACATTTTTCTGATGTTTTAAAATTAGACATTTGAATTTTATGTTCTTTTTTTAAACTTTATTTATAACTTGAAGATGATTGCTTAAAGCTATTAAAAACATTTATTTATTAAATTTATTATTTTTTGCTGGTGTTTTGGTTTGGATTTCTTTATTAAAACTATATTTTTTCCCAAACAATAGTGCTCTGATCAGTTCTAGTAGATAAAAAGAATAATCAAATACAGTAGAATCTGTTTAATAACTTTGGGACTCATACAGAGTGTAACAATTAATTCATTGGAATAACTCAAAAATATACATCCTAAATAAAAATATTTTATGCCAAAATTGTTAGACTTGTAAGGATAGTCACAATATGGTGCTATCAATTTTGTCATAGATAGTGCTACAGTTGATGAAAATAGAGATTTTTGTCATTTTCTTAAATGGGAATCCCATTTTTTATTGCATATTATTATTCTACATAAAAAATAAACAAACTTTTATTTGAAATTTTTTCTGAAAGATGCCACGTATTAGAAGTTATGAGTGTTTGAAGTTTTATGTAGTCACACTAGTATGTATGCACGTCTTTGGATATCAGTGAAGTCCATTGCAAAAGAGGATAAAAAATGCTTAAAAAATCATTAGGAAACTATTATTTGACAAAATCATTCTTTTTCTTCAAATAATGAACTGATACAAAAACTAATGCCAGTGCATTAAAGCCATTAAGCTTATGATAGATAGGTTGCTCTTGATTTCATCAAATAGTAATAGGTTCTAATGAGTTTTTAAAGATTTTTTTCATCCTTTTTATAGTGAACTTCACTAATATACACTGACCTGTGCATGTGCACTGTGGCTGCTACATAAAACTTCAAATTCATATAACTTTTAAGTGCATCTTTTGGAAAAAATATTTTAGATAAAAGTTTATTTGTTTATGTGGAATCATAATATGCAATAAAAAATTGGGATTTTCATTTAAAAAAATGAAGTTGACCTCAGTTAACAACTACTACTTTACCACTGGTTATTATTAGACAAAAATAAACACTGCAAAAACCTAACAAATCAGTGAGAAAATTATACATAAAGTGTGAACGTTTTTGCCTGTGTTAAATGGGCATCATCAGGCAACAAACTGATGAGAAGACACAGGATTACTAAACACGTGTGTAGGGGGAAGGGGTGTATGGCGTAAGAAGAGACGAGGGGGTTTATATTTTGTAGAAAGACTTCCAGGCAGTGGGGAAGGAGTCAATATCGCAATAGTTTATGGCTGTATTATGGCAGGTGGCCTTGTGAATTTCCACTTGTTATAGATGTTTAAGCATATGTGGTTTAGATTTGTAATGTAGGAGGTGTGTTTCATGGACTGTCCCAACAAGAACCACCTGCCAGGCATCTACAGTATCCCCATCATTAACCATCGTTACAACTGGCACCTGCAATACATAGGTGCTACATCTTGCCCATTACATATCCATCTCAAGGAACATCAAACATCTATCAAAAAATGCTTAAACAATGCAGCTTTGGCTACCTATGCAACTGACCCAAGCATTTAGGTGGACTTCCATGAAACACACCTCCTACATTATAAATCTAAACCATGTGCTTAAACATCTAGAACAAGTGGAAATTTATAAGGCCATTTGCCATAAGCTATTGCAATGTTGACTCCTTCCCCACTGTCTGGAAGTCTTTCTACAAAATATAAATTCCCCTTGTCTCTTCTTACGCCATACACCCCTTCCCTCTACACATGTTAGGCAATTCCCTGTGTCTTCTCAGCAGTTTGTTGCCTGACGATGCCCATTTAACACAGGCAAAAACATTTGCACATTATGTATAATTTTCTTGCTGGCTTGTTAGGTTTTTGCAGTGTTTATTTTTGAAGTTGACTTCATTTTCACCAATTGTAATGCTATCTTGTGATTCCCTTAAAGTCTAATAATTTTTGAGTAATGACTTTTTTGTAGAATGTGTGTTTTGAGTTATTCCAGTGGATTGATTAAACATGGATCACCCTGTATATGATAATGATAACTGTTTAATAATAATAAGTGAAGTAAGAAATATGATTGTTATTAATTACTAGTAATTCATCCTCTATAATTGAATTTACAAATGCCATCAATTTAAACTACTTACTGTTTAAACTGCTATTTGTATATAGTATGTTTAACACTTAAAACTTTGGTTAAGACATGTAACAATTGCACATTGTTAGTATTATTTTTAGGCCAATAGTACAAAAAAAAAATTATTTGTTGGGCAAATAAACATTTGTAAGCTAATAATAAACAAAATTTTCATTAACCATTGAACAATAATTAAAACAGATTTTATTTTTTTATAGAACTCAGAATTTTTGAATATGTTTAGAAACTTTATCTTCAGAAGCTACAATCATTAAATCAAATATATTACAAACAAAATAAATTAAATTTAGAAATTTAAAATAGCATTTGCTCTTAACATTTACATGAAGTGTGTATGTAAATATTATAAAATGTTCATTTTGCTATTCTTCATTTATTTTAATCAAGTAAGCATTTTAAGCATTATCAATTTGTCAGGCCCAGACAGAGTCTGAACC